TTAGAAATTGGAATACCACTTATAATTCTACATATCCAAATTCACTACGCTTAACTTATTAACAAATTCGTAGGTTGAGACATAACTTATGAGATATAACTTAAATAACTTAGAAATTTGCTTCGTCCGATGAATGAAAACTTGTCAATTGATAAACATGTGAACATATATATTCTTCAAGATAAGGTATCACATGACTAGGTAAAAAGAACTCAAATTTCACAAGGAGGAGTAATTACTATTTTTTCTTTCTATGGCGAAATGGGATTTGCCCATAACATTTATAATTTTTTTTTGTCAAAACTTGTGGTAAGTTTGCACATTTTGACTTAACGTGTAACTGAGTCATTTTTAAGAATGTGCGAACCTCTGAAACTCTCAAAGCTGTTCATAAGCATACATCAGTGGTCTTGTAATAATACATGTTGCATTATTGCTTTCATTCTGAAGCATAAAAGTGTGCGATAGTATCTTAAGCAAATTGCACATTTAAAGATTAATGCATTCCAGCATGTAAACAGGGCTGGGAAGTCAGGTAGGTGTTAATAAAATGGATGTAAGAAATTTGTAAATATTAGTTGCATACCATATTAGACAAAAATTATCATTTGATACTTGAAGCCATTATTCATTTTTATTACCTACATTTAGAATAGTTAAGAAATTTGTTTAGGTATTTTTTTTTAGCTTCTGTAATTACTATATGTCCATTTAGAATAGTTTAGGAAATATTTGATGATAACATTTGTCAATACTAATCATAAGTTTAATGTTAAGTCTATTATGGCAGAGCACTCGAAGATTCTGTAAAAACTGAATTCTACCAACTCATACAGTTGATGAACCAAAACGAAGTACCAATCTTCAAGGACTTCATCCATTCTATTACTGACTGGCCAATGAATTTAAGAAATTCTTAAATCATTTTTCAGAATTTTTAATTTAATTTATAATGGGGCAATTACATTTAATCTAAATATGAGTTAATTGTTGATAGCATATTATATTAATTACATAAATAAAATATGTAGACTAATGAATTCTTAAAAATAAGCAATCGAATTCAACAAGGAATTCTCATCAGGTAATGCAGGAAATTTGCTACAAAGTAAACTCATTGCAGTAGTAGACAAAGGATCCAAAATGTGAATTAAGTTGTTTAGTGTTTATTCTACGAACAGAAGGAAGATCATAAGCAGCAGAAATTCCAGCATAAGCATTTGAATTGAGAAGCGTTTGTGCCAGGGAACGTCATTTCAGCTCAACTTCTGTCATGCTAATACCAGCAGCATAATTGTTCCAATAACGACTATAGATGGCGCTGCAGCAATCTTCAATAACAGCTCCAAATCTGAGCCTGGCAGGAAATACGAGCGCGAACGTTTCCGAAATAAGGTAATTTTGAATTCTTGAGAGGCGAAACATAATCCTGACCTAAGAATTTCCCACATTATTGACTTAGGGCAAAGTCACAGATTGCATTTAGGTTGCAATCAGAGCGAATATGTTTTCTTCATGAGATACAATTTAGGAAATTAATTCGTATTTATTTATTTAAGACCACTTCAAGTTGAAATTACTGATTCTAGGTATTCAAATATATAGAATATGGTTATATGGATTATTAACTAATGGTCGATAAGATGAAATTAATGATAAAATGTTTCGAAATGGAAAAATGCCATTTTAGGTTTGAAGCATTGGCTGCTTATCACTACATTGTAAATTGAGTTGTTTTATGACATTTAATTAATGGTCTTGCATTTATTTACTTAAAAGATTCTGAAATGCGTTGGAATTGAAATTAAAAGATGTATAAGGTATTTCTCCCGCCTTCTTAGTGCGCCTCCGTGGTGTAGTGGCCTGCATTCTGGGCGCGTATTCCAGAGGTCCACGGTTCGATTCCCGGTGAACGCGTTGCTCACTTTTCAAGTCTCCTGCTTCCAAAAATTACCTTATGTCTTTACAGTGGCGCCAGAACTATAAGAATGGTGGATGATGATTCTCCACATGCAGGATTTGGCGATTGGCTTCCTAAAACACCAGTTGCCCTTTAAGAGGAGGGAGTATGTAAGGTATTTCTCCCACCTTCATACCATGACTTCGTAGTGTAGTGGTCTGCACGCTGGGCGCGTATTCCAGAGGTCTGTGGTTCGATTTCCGGCGAAGGCGTTACTCATTTTTCTCTTCTCCTGCTTCCAAAAAATTTTAATGTCCCTACAGTGGCGTCCGAACTAAAAGGGGGGTGAATGATGATTCTCCACACCCGGGATTTGGCGATTAGGTCCCCTAAAAGCCCAGTCGACTTTTAAATAGGGGAAATATATAAGTTATTTCTCCCGCCTTCTTAGCGTGCTTTCGTGGTGTAGTGGTCTGCATGCTAGCCGCGTATTCCGAAAGTTCGCGGCTCGATTCCCGGTGAAGGCGTTGCTCCTTTTTCAAGTCTCCTGCTTCCAAAAATTACCTAATGTCTCTACAGATGTTTGATAAAGTTGAGCGTAATTCTCATCGTTTTTCAGATAAAAGCATGAGGGCGTGAGCACAAAGTGTTTATATTTACATAGCTCATGAAATTCAGAAAGAAATTTTATAATTCTGAAATTAATCTATTTACCAAACTCATAAAAAATAATACCTATGTATACAAAATTGTATGAAATAAAAATAAAAACTTATGAAGAGTTGTGATTTTCCCTGTTTAAAATACGAAATTTGATGTGACTGTTCATACTTTATTGAAACTTTTGTTCTTTCAGGAGAAACTGCCATTACTACTTAAGAGCTGAATTACCTTAAAATGTCTTAAGAAAATCTGCAATATTTTGTTCTAACGCATAACAACCATATTCAATCAGGTTTAAGAGTGAGGAGTTAGAAAACCAGATGACAAATTACCTAAACTCATCAGAGCATTAAAATTGCCATTTAATATCCATCAAATAATTGTATTAATTTTGTTCCATTATCTTTTTGTATGAAGAAATTAAAAACAAATAGCACAAGTGGCCTCAAAAGCCTAATTATACTAAACACCAAATAATAATATGTTACATTTTCTTCATTCTTTCAAATTCTTTTAAAAATTATTTCCACTAAAGTAGTGATAAAACAAATGAGGTTTTATTTAATATCTGAAAAATAATCATGTAAAATATTTTTTTTTTCCAAATGTTCCCAGTGAGAACATTGGAGAATTAGTAATTAGTCAGGATAGCCACTTGATAAATTGAATAAGTTTTGAATATTTACCATCAGTCATTTACAATTTCTAAAACATTTTTCATTTTTGTGGAGATTATAGTTCTCAACGCAGTTAAAATGTATGTTAACTCAGCAACTGAAATTATATAATGAAGATTCAGAGTGAAAATTCTCGCTTGGAATAGCCTAGTAGTAAAAAGTCTAGTTATGGATAACTTTCGAATATCTATGCATTCGTCAATTGCTTAAAATCTAGCCAATACTCTAACAAGTTTGTAAGGTATTTCTCCCGCACTTCTTAGTGTGCCTTCGTGGTGTAGATGTCTGCACACTCGACGTGTATCCGAGAGGTCCGTGGTTCGATTCCAAACGAGGGCGTTGCTCATTTTTCATCACTCCTTCTTAAAAAATACCTAATGTCTCTACAGTGACTGCCGAACTAAAAGGTGGTGAATGATGATTCTCCATACCCAGGATTTGGAGATTGGGTTCCCTAAATCACCAGTCGCCCTTTAAAAGGAGAAGCATATAAAGTATTTTCCGGGCTTCTTAGCGTGCCATCGTGGTGTAGTGGTCTGCATGCTGGACGCGTATTCCAAAAGTCCGCGGTTCGATTCCCGGCGAAGGCATTGCTCATTTTTCTCTTTTCCTACTTCCAAAAAATCCTGATGTCCCTATAGTGGCGCGGGAACTAAAAGGGTGGTGGATGATATTTTTTCATCTCAAGGATTTGGCGATTGGGTCCTTTAAAACCCCTGTCGCATTTTAAAAAGGGGAGTATGTAGGGTATTTCCACCCGCCTTCTTAGCGTGCCTTCGTGGTGTAGTGGTCTGCACACTCGACGCGTATCCGAGAGGTCCGTGGTTCGATTCTCGGCGAGGGCGTTGCTCATTTTTCATCACTCCTGCTTTTAAATACCTAATGTCTCTACAAATTAAGTGTGAAAAATCGTGGTATATTTATGCAGACAAAAACCATTCCAATTAATGCTGAGGAACAATTTCCTTTATCGATAAGTAGTAACTAAATATTTGAATTGTTTTTGATTAAATGATTAAATAATTTCCAGCTACAAGATTCGCCCCTCCCCCTTTTTTTTTTTTTTTCAAAAGTTTCATATTACCGTACTCTAGATAAAGTTAACTTGAATACAGGGAAGAGGTCCATCTTTCAAATAATAAATACCATGCAGATGTTTTATTAGATCACATACCTTAAAGAACTATTAATACATGAGAGCTATGACCAAAGGGATCATTAAAATTTATTTTTGGTCATTTTCAGAAAATTCTATTATTAACTCATATTTTAACGTCAAAACAACTTCTGAAGTATTTTCTTTCTCCTTATGGCGTACATTCATGATGTAATTTGAAGCACATTGGGTCAGTCGGGAGATCCGGAGTTCGAATCCTGGCGAGGGCATTGTACATTCAAACTTAGTGATACTATAAACTGACAGTTCACCAATGTACTTATTTTATTACTGATTGGTGCATTTAGCGGTCACTTAATTAAAGCATCTTCAGCAAGAAGTTAATTATTATTTATTGCGAATTAGAATCGTTAACTTTTAATCTCTTGTTGATAAACAATCATAGAGAAAGTGTATGATTACCTAAGTTATTAAGAAAAATAAAATAAAATAATAATAAAAATTATTAATTTGCTGTTTTTGCGCATTTTCTTTTCCTCATTTATACTAGTAATGTAGTACGTTGTGTTCGGGGATAGCATACTTAGCGTTAACTGAGGGTTTAGAGAATTATAAAAAATGGAGAAAACAAATGAATATTTACCTCAGATACTACTCTTTGGCTTCCCTTTTTTCAAAGGTTTCAAAACCCGATCTATCAATCTCATCAAAATTCCTTTTGTTGTAGGTTCCGAACCCAGCCCTATCAATTTCGTCAAAATTTTTCTTTGCTAGGGCCAATGAGTAGCGGTTAGGGCCGTATCGCGATGCTTTCTTTGCGAAACCCGTGAAACCCACGTTGTCAATCTCGTCGAAATCCCTCTTACTCAGTCCAAAAGTGGATCCGTTTAGAGAATCTAGTCTTTTCTTACTCTCCCCGAATGCCATTCCGCTCAAGGAGTCCAATGTGCGCTTGGGAGCAAGACGGAGTCTAGCCTTTCCTTGCCGAGCTTTCTCCAGAGCGTTTAGAATTGCAATCCCATCTGAAGAGTCTAAGGAGGTAAGAAATTCTCCGCCTGTCAGCTTATCCACGACATTCAGTACCTCACCTCCTTTGAAGTTGTCCAAGAAATTGAGGAACTGACCTCCATTCATTTGCTCTAAAGACTTTATCATTTGGCCACCGCTGAAAGGGTCCAAGACGCGGATAAGTTCTCCACCGCCTAATTTGTCCAGGCTTCTGGCTGGCAGAAGACTGCGAATGACGTCTGCACCAGAGAAATCGAAATGGTGAGGTAGAGATTTGTCTTCACGGGCAAGCCTTAGAATGTTCTGCCTCATTCCTCCCTGCAAAAGAAATAATTAACATGGCTATATCTTTTGTCTTTTATGAAAGTTACTAAATTACACTTTTTACAAGGTATCACATTATGAAAAGATAAGGAGTTTCTTAAGGCTTTTGATATTATATTTTAATGTCGTTACGGAAATATGAATATATGAATTCACGCTCGCTGGGAAAAGCTAAATGTTTCTTCATTTTGTATTTTTAAAGCCCGTACTCTTTTGCTGTTGTTGTTATCGTTGTGTATATTAATAAAGCCTACTCAAATAGTGCCATAGGCGAAGATGACAACCCTTGCAATCTGCAAATTGTTGCCAGCGAACAGGTTCGTTCTCTTAAACAAAACCCCCAATTCTTAATAATTCATCAGGAGTGGCCGGATAATTAAAAGTGTGTGCAGTAAGCAGTTCTGCGGCCGGGCAGAGTTTTTCAGTCTTCTCTGTCAATTTTCAGTCTTCTGTGATGGCCACTTCTAAGCCTGACTGTGGTTTTAGTTATAAATCGATCTCCATTAACATCATGGAGCTGGCCAAATTCTTTAACCGCATAATTTAAGAATTGTCTATATTTGTTTCTAAAATAATAGGAATTCTATACCACAGAAATTTTATACCATAAAACAAAAGGATAATTTTCATTTTAATTCTTTAATTAATATAAAAGCAGCGGAATATAATCATATTATCGCAATACGCTTTCTAAAGCATTAATAAATTATATCTCCAACGCTTCGATAGAAAAAAACAACCCTTGCAATATTCTGAATAAATTATATTTTCACGTTTCATTAATATTGATGATTAAATACCACTCGCGTAAACTCTTTTTCTAACTGTACTAATATGTGGCACACATCGATGCTACTAAGAAATCAAAATTTAGTATACTTTGCTAAAAATGAGCATCAATATTTTCTGTACTTTAAATAAATGTAATATAATTTTTAAACTAAAGGAACAGACATTTTCATTTCTGAAGCTAAACTGAAGCTAACGAACAGAGTTGCAGACTTCAACATTAATGTGAGCATTAAATAATTTACATAGAATTGGTGAATATGGCACAATCCAGCGATTATTAAAAGTCTTGACTACCCCACTGCGAGTTTAAATCGTAACTCTTCTACCACCATCTTCGGGTGCTCTTCGTCTGTATAAAGAGTAACCCTTATCATTGTGCACTGTTTCCTTTAGTAGCTCCCGGGTGAACGTTTTCGCACATTTCCCATTTTTCCTGCAAGGTGATGCTGGATTGCGAACTACATAGGAACCATGAATCATGTTTTTGATCACGATCTCGTGCAAATTCTTATCTAGTTCTGGATCCGGGATTTCGGCGCTTATAATGTTATCTATTAATAATGTTATTTGGTTGTATCGCAGCTTTTGTTTTAACCGAATAAGAATGTGCACATGTGGCAGACCTTGTTTCTGTCATTCAATGGAGTACATATGGCACTGGACGTTTCCAAACACTTTCCCTTTTGTTACTGCATTAATGATCTTTTGAACTTAAACACGCGGGCGAAACGAAACACGCAGGCAACTATGTCATATCGATCAGTGGCTCTTTGTCCAAGCATAAGCTCTTCTGTTATTTCTTTACACGATTGCAGGTAAAAGTTACAAATAGGTCAGGCCTACCGTAAGTGCGTACGTAGGAGAAAGCGTCTTGTATGCATTCCTGCAGATAGCGGTGACTGTTCACAAAGGTGGAGGGAAGAATAATCATCTTGTTTAAGTCGTTGAGGCTACTATTACTATCTGTGCTAATTGCATCTTGTAGGTGCATGTAATTTTCAACTCGTAGTTGTGTCCGGTTTAAAGAAATGTAACGAAGGCGTTCGCTCTCTACTTTGATATACATATCTACTAAGAATTGATGAAAGAGCTGCCTTGGCCGCGGAAGGAGGTTGAAATCATTCGCTCGAAGCATCATGTGATAGGTGTAAAAATTCATGCAGGAAACGGTTTTATTGGGAACTGGTTGTTCTGTAGTTGGATTAATCTGTGGAATATAAAAATGGTATCCCAATTGTCCTTTACTAAAAATTAATGGGTACTGCAAAGCATCGTAAAATTTAAGAGTATCTGCTACGCGTGTCAGTGTATTATCATGAGCTCGTAACACTGTATCTCGTGGAGAGCATGAGTCGCCAGTAATTTCATGTCTTTTTACAAATATTTTGATATAAATTTCAGAGGCAATATAAGAAGATGAAATCCGGAATAAATTTATTTGTCTTAAACTTTTGTGTTTCTGAGTTGTATCCAGTTACTGAACCAATACGAATGAAATGTCTGGTCATCATTCCAGAGAATAATTATTATCAAACTCTCAAAACAGAGACCACTGACATATATTGTTCAATTCAATTACATATTTAAATACATAAAATATTATTAATGTCTATCAGTTTAATTATATATAAAGCACAAAACTCCTAACTACTCATAATGTTAAAATAAAGCACCTATGCCACATAAATCGTTGTTATAACATTATCTTTTCACATGCACCTATGTCACATAATTCTCCTTTACAACATTGTACTATAACAGGGAATATAAACTATGTAATATATGATACATAATGTTATTTGTTACATAATAATTAAATTTAGAAGTTATACAGAACACATTTGTGCTGCATATTCCTCCTTAAATTAAATATTTTTAAGAGAATATCCGTGTGAAAACAGAAAAGACTACAAACCACATTTTTGCCCGAAAATACAAAATTTTTGAATTTTTAACCCCCAACCCCCTTTTTTTTATCTCAAACTGATAATTATTATTTGTCATTCCAAGAAAATTTAAGTTGAAAGTAGCAGCTACAGGTCTCAAGATTAGAAACAAATTTATATATGTGGTTAATCGCATTATTTTAACCTTTTATTAAGAATCTGAGAAGACTGTTGAGATTATTGAAAGATGATTTAAAATTTTTCTCTAGCCGATATTTTAGTGAGAAATCTTAATTCCACGTTTTGGAAGAATATTAATGGAAACAAATATAATATGGGTTTATATATACTGTGATGTAAAATTGATATTTAGAAGATAAAGGAAGATTACTAGAGGGAATTGATAATTGTCAAACGTTTGTTCGGGAGTTATCATTTGCTCAAAATTTTAATAAATAAAATCATTAATTCAGTTGAATTTTAATGGTGGGCATAGATATCGCATAGTATTTAAGTATAGCAACGGTTTCAAGCACATAAAAAAGTATAAAGTTCCAAGGAAATGTAAAGTGTGCCAATTTTAGTAGCTATGAACTATTTTTATTTTATAAATTCAAACAAAAATTTCTTTTTTGGTTAGTGTCAGAAGGATTTATCTAGGAATGAATAAATTTTTTAGGCAGTTCAAATAAACATTCAAGTTGCTAAAATATTTACAATCTTCAGAAAAATATTTTTGGCTTAAACCGTATACTTTTGGAATAAGAAAAGCTTGTAAACATATACTGCAAATATAAGCTATGAATACGTGATTTCTGGAAACATATTCATGTAAAATATATTTACCGTTGTTTATTTAAACAAGCTCCGACGCCTTTTGGAAGCTTCCATATATTACAAAACTCAAATAGTTTAAAATTCCCTTCATAAAACAATCTGATTTATTGCAAGAGGGATTTTAATAAATATTTGCGAGATGCATAGAATGTTACATATTTATATTTACTCACATCAGTAATATTCAGAAGTTTAGTTTAAAATCTTGCAGTTGTTCATTTTAAGCGCGTATAACATTTTCGCACTGAACAGTAAAAAATGAAATTAAATCATATTTACTGGTTTATGAAATGGCAGTATAAGCAGTTATAGTTTAATATGCTTGTCGTGTAACTAGAATATATAATAACATTGATTTCAAACAATCAAATAATTTTAATCTCATATGTTTATTAAAATCATATTTTCGTCTACATTTTAAGCAGACCTTATTTAATGAAATTAGGTTCTCCCAATAGGTACTTTCTGATTAATTCTATAGGTTTTAAAGAACACAGAAATCATTTGAAATCTTGAACCAATTATCATTGCTGCTGTGATAGCGCAAATAAATAGAAAGCTTTTCGAAACAGTTTGTAAAGGAAATGGATAATATTTAGTCCATTATCTTAAAATTCTGTTACTAACGTTATGCATTCTTTTGTTAATGCCATCATTTCTTAATTAGCTTTTAAAATAACCTTTTCGTTTCAATCAAGATCCTTAGTGAAAGGGATCTTTAAAACTCCCATTTGTATTTTTAATAGAAGAATATGCTCATTATTCTCAGAGTTCAACTCATATACCAAGAAATTATAAGTGTACGTTTAACAGGCTGAATTCTAAGAGAAAGTTAATGTTGTAGTTTAATTGGCTCTGTGAGGGAAAAACACGTTTAATTCTAAAAACATTGTTGCACCTTTTATTATCCCGTTCCACATTTACTAACCTACGAAATTACATTCATTACCACTATATATGATTAAATATATTTAAAATAAAGTTAAATAAAAAATAAGGAAAAGTATGCAGAGACGTTTTGCACATTTTGATTTTACTTAGCCATAAAAAATACCGTCTGCTTAGAATTTTTTTTTTAACTCCAACTACATTTTTGAAAGTATAAATTATCGTACTTGATAGTTTTGTTTTCATGCAAAATGGCGCTTTTGAAGAAGCAATAAATGAAAGGCTATGTTTGTGCTCTTTCCGAAGAAAACTATTCTTATCTAGTTATAAAAAAACGCTGTGAAATCCATGAGGCTTAGATGTCTAAAGCCATGATAGGTAATATAGTCAATAAGAAAGAGAAAAGTCAAAGTTTGACTTTTCTCTTTATAAAACTCTCTTCTTTATAAACTCTATTCTCTTTATAAATATATATATATATTTTCTCTTTATAAAAAGTGAAAATATTGTTCCAGATCCAAGGAAAAAACGGAATTTTTCGAATGTTACAGAGATAAGATCTTTAATGTTAAAAAAATCCGCTAAGTCAAA